TTCTCTGCTTAGGCTGCTGCCCCCGCGACCCGGCCCCGGATAAAGCGGATGAAGATGGATGGATGGATGAGTAAAACTGCTGATTCAACTTTAAATCTGCAGTTTTTTTTCTAGCTGTGTTGCTTTATATAGATGAGTTTATTTCCTAATAGACTAATCAAAAGAAAGTAGATATTTTTATTAAAGCTTAGGTAGCCTTTATAAGTTTTTCTCATTTGTATTGATCGGTGATACTAATGTGTGCTTTGTTGCCTCTTTAGGAAAGGAGCTACACTGCATCCTGCTGAAGTAAGAAGTATTGTCACGGAGTATGTGAAGGACAATGAGCTGGTGGATGAAAATAATAAGAAGTAAGAGGCTGTTCAAAACTCTACTGTGATTCAAAGTGGATATTTGAAAAACCACAGACAGAAGAACACAGAACAACTAAACATTGAAAACCTGGAGACCACGCTGCTGAGTTGAACCGGGCGTGGTGGTGAACAGCAGACTCACTGACTATTAAATACAGAACTGACCTTAATAACATTATAATGAGCTAAAATGTTTAAATGTGACTCTGAGACTCCAAAAAACATCTCATGTTTTCTTTTCTAATAATTTGTTCCTCATCTGATGTGAAACAAACTAGCAGTGATTTATGGGAGAAAATAAACTATCTGCCACAAAGCTGGCATGGCTTAACAGTGCAGCATGCTCCCTGTTTTATTGCCATCCCTCAAGCCTCACTGTTTTTGTCCTCCTTACTAGTTACGTGACCATCAACCCAACTCTGTGTGACTGCTTACTGGAGAAATCAGAGTATCAGGAGGTAGTCTCTCTCAAATGGGATGACCTCTTTAGCAGGTAAAGACAAACTTTTTTTAAAGCGCTGTGTACAACATTGAACATGTTGCTTTTTGAAGTACTGTACACCACCCACACTTAAAAACAGCTGTACTAGAAATAGACAAAAATAGTTTGCATTTCTGTATAGGGCTGTGTGATGTGACCAAATTTCATATCCCGATATAAGACATCTATCCTCCCAACAACCCAACAA